AGATTCTCATCTCTCAAGAGAAAACCAGATAAGGTTACGTTGTGTGTGATATTAACAATTTCTTTATCAGTATAAATTCATAATCTTTGTTTGCCAAAATGTTTTATTTTACCTTTCAAGAAAAAAAAAATGTATCTGTACTTGCAAATTCAGGATGCTGCTGTCAGGTGACAGTAGTATCCCCCTGCCATCGAGTTCATTCTGGCTTGATGGTACAGAGGGCTAAGCACTGTATTGCTAACTTCGAGGTTGGTGATTCAAAGCCACCAGCTGCTGTCTACTCCCATAATGATTTATAGTCTCAGAAACCCTATGAAGCAGTTTTACTCTGCTGTACATGAAGCACTGGACTGTAAAATCGGTTTGAACTGCAAGGTCGTGGTTCAAACTCACCAGCCGCTCCGCAGAAACCCTATACAGGGTCACTATGAGTCGGAACCAACTCGATGACACTTTACAACAACAAGCGCTGTCAAGTTGGTTTGGACTCATGTTGTTGTTGTTGTTAAGTGCTGTCGAGTCAAGTCTGACCCAGTACAAGGTTTCCGAAGTTTTAAATCTTTGCGGAAGCATAAACCCTCATCTTTCTCCTGCGTATTGGCTGGTGGGCATAACCTCTGACTTTGTGGTTTGCAGTCCATTGCTTAACGTATGGCGTTACCACGCTTCTTTGGTCAGCAGTAGTACACACAAAATAAATGACCCCCTGGAAGATAATTGACTAAGAAAAGAGACTAGCATGCTCTTCCATCTCTATAAGAAATAAAAAATAAGATTAATAAAATAATCATACTGGCACAAACATTAAACATTCATTTGCGAAGCTACTAGACTTCCGGTGTGGCGCTGTGGGTCAGCACTGGAATGCGAACCACAAGGTCTGCAGTTTAAAACCACTTGGAAAAACGTATATAAGATGGCTATGAATTAGAACAGACTCAACAGCACTTAGCAACCACAAAGAACAACACGTAGTTACTATTTTATGTCAAGCTTTTAAAAACTTTTTTTTAATAATTATTAAAATTTTGAATAGGTGATACATTTGCAAGTTCAAAAATCTAAAAATGTGAAAAGCTGTATTGTGAAAAATCTATCTTTCATGCCTGCCCTTCAACTCTTACAAGTAGCTAATTCATTTGTTTCTTTGATATCCTTTCCCTATTTAAGTACAAATGACGACAGATATGCATTCTAATCCCTTTTCCTTTCAGCAGAAATCATTGCATAGAGTTTTTGCATCTTTTAAAATATATTTGCATAGTATTCTATCACATGAAGGTTTTATAATATGTTTAGCTAGTTCCCTACCGATGGATATTTGTTTTGTTTCCAATTTTATCCTATTATTACCAAAGTTCATGTGATTTCACATGTAAGATAATTCTCAAACTTGGAATTGCTGTCTAAATTACATTCATCTGTAATTGTAATAGATATTCACCCTTATAAAATTTATGCCAATAAATTCACCCTTATAAAAATAATGCCAATTTACAGGAGCTCTGGTATCGTAGTGATTACGAATCGGGCTGCGAACCTTAAGGTCAGCGGTTCGAAACTACCAGCTGCTCCGCGGGAGAAAGATGAGGCTTTCTACTCCCGTAAAGATTTATACCCTCGGAAACCCTGTACAGGGTCCCTATGGGTCGGAACCGACTCGACGGCACTTAACAACAACAACAACATTTCTAGAATAGTGTAGTAGAGTCCTGGTGTGGCGCTGTGTGTTAATGCGCTAGACTGCAAAGTCAGTTTGAACTGCAAGGTTGGTGGTTCAAGCTCACCAGTCGCTCCTTGGAAACCCTATACAGGGTCGCTATGGGTCAGAACCAACTCGACGGCATTTAACAACAACAACATTTCTAAAATGTGCCTATTTTCCCATAGCCTTGACAACAGTGTGCATTATCAGACTTTGGAATCTTCGTCATTCTTATTGGTTGAAAAAGATATCCGAAAGTACTTAATTTTTTTAAAATGAGGTTGCTCATTTTCTACGCTAAGAGCAATTTATATTTACTTTTCTTTTATGAAATGCAAACAGCAACAAATATAACCATACACATATATATGTTATTGTTAATGCCATCAAGTCAGTTCTGACTCATAACGACCCTGTATAGGGTTTTCAAGGAGTGACTGGTGGGTTTGAACTGCCTACCTAGTGGTTTAAAGCGACCTTGCAGTCTAATGTGTTATCCTACAGTGCCACACCAGGGTTTTGCTATTGATGTTGTGCCTTATTTTTGTCATTATTCTATACGTGTTTCTCTTACATTTGTTTTGCTCATTTAACTCCTGGACATTTTTTGGTAGCTCTGAACAGAAGTTATTGGCAGTGGAGAATGCGGAAGGCCAGGACTGGGATATTTGCTTTTTTCTTCATCCCTTTGTTATTGACTCTTGGGGGGAACTATCTGGAGTTGTGAAAGGAGAACTCTAATAAACTATCTTCCTGAGATGATTAAGGCTTCCAAGAGACAGGTAGGAGTGCTAGTGGTGCTGTAGGATAAGCATTGGACTACTAAACAAAAGATCTGTGGATTCTGCCCACCATTTGCTCTATGCAGAGTCACTAAACCAACTGGATGACGCATAACAACAACAGTAAGAAATAGTTAACCACTTGGAAGAATTTAGTCATCTTGAAACTCATGAATAGTTCAGGAATATTGCATCCTCTGAACACACAATGTAAGAAAGCTCTAGCCCTTTATACTGAGGCCTTGGTGAGTTTCAGTGTAATGTGTATAGGAAAACACAGACAATGCAACTCTAAAGAGAAACAGACAACAACAGAAGGGCCTTCTACACCCCTTGTTGATTCAGACCTTTGAATTCAGGTTTGATCCATTTTAATGAGATGTTGTCACTGTTGTTGTTAGGTGCCATCGAGTTGGTACTGACTCATAGCAACCCTATGCACAACAGAACAAAGCACTACCCAATCCTGGGTCAACCTCACAATCGTTGCTACGTTTGAGCCCATTGATGCTGCCACGTGCCCAATCCATCTTGCTGGGGGTCTTCCTCTTTTGCTACGACTCTTTACTTTACCAAACATGATGTCCTTCTCCAGCGACTGGTCCCTCCTGTTAATAATTCCGAAGTGTGAAAGACGAAGTCTGGCCATCCTGGCTTCCAATGAACACGCTGGCTGTATTTCTTCCAACACATTCTGTTGGTTCTTTTGGCAGTCCACGGCACTTTTAATATTCTCCACCATCACCATAACTTAAATGCATCAGTTCTTCTACGGTCTTCCTTATTCACTGTCCAACTTTTGCATACATATGAGGTTATTGAAAATACCATGGCTTGGGTTAGGTGCCACTAGCATGCATATAAAAGAAAGTGATGAAAACTGTATGAAAATATAGTCTCCTCAACTTTAAGATTTTCTTCTGCCTATTGAGATGGTGGTAACTGAATATGGCAGTGTTTTAGAGGAAGAGGGAACTATAGATGTCAAAATTCCAAATTCCCTACTCTACAGGTCAGGTAGGAATTTGAGCAAGGTCACTCAACTTAATAATGACAATGCTAGCACTAGAGTCCAACTTGGTCCCCTCATTTCTGGTCTTTGCCTTTCCTGCAATTTACCAGGCATCTCTGAAACTCATGTACTGAGGTTATGCCATAACCACGGCAGGGCTATCTCACATACCCTTTCCTTTGCCCCCACCCCCACCCTACCCCACACTTACAAGATGGCTAAAAGAAACTACCTGGGTCTGAAACCACTCTATTTATTGTAGTTGTTAGGTGTCATTGAGTTGATTCTGATTCATAGTGATCCTATGCACAACAGAACAAAATACTGCCCAGTAAGGTAAATTAGGACAAAGCTTGTAAGGACTTGAACTTCTAGTCTTGATTTTATCAACACCTTCCCCTGCTTATTCATACTATCCATGAGTAGGCAATTTCCAAAAACAATGGTGTACTATGAACAAAAGAAGTCAACTTTCATAGAAATGCTTTTGAAAGATTTTCTGAAACTTTGATTGTCATGTTTCTTTTGTTTTGATGTCATATCAGGTCTTCCCAGTTTTCCTAAATGTTTGAGAAAGTATTTTTGATCCTCTTTGTCTTCTTGTGTAATAAGAGTATCGGTGTTGGTCATGCCTTGGGGACTAGTGAGGTGATTGGGCAGATCTCCAGATCCTAGTCCTTTGTCCAAGAAGTACAGGTAAATGAACAAAGCAAATTTACTTTTCATTGTATGGTATGATCCCATTTAAATGGTAAGTCTCTGCTACCGATGTCACTTACTTGTTCAAATTATACCACGTGTTCAGGCCAACAAAGGGTCTGAAGAAATATGTGACTCTATTGGAAAATATGCGTGTACTGGCACCTTAGCCACACTGGATACCGGTTAGTATAATGTGTATTTCAGATGCAGTTTGTCATTGATGCTGGGTGACACAGAGCTTACAACAAAAACAGGATGAGCCCAGAGTGCAAAAGTGGAAAACTAGATGGGTGGGTGGGTATGAACTTGAAAATGGAAAATGTGCTTACCCATGGGATGTGACCTGTGTTCATTAGCACTGACCTGCCTCCTCTCTAGCCCTGTAAGCTGATGTTGACACCAAAGCTTACTGAGAAACTGAACAGACCTTCCCACCCCCACAAACCAGAGAGAAGGATGAGACCACCCAACTCAGTTATGCTGTGGCCAGAACCACATGTTTAATCTTTACCATGGGTTCATACTATTCTTGCCTCTAGGAACAAGAACTTCAGCAATTAAAGCCAACATGTGCTTCCATTAAACCATTGTGTCCACCTCTAAATGGTTATAAATATGTAGTATAAGCTATGGGTGGTAGAGGGTGGTGGAATGGATGAAAGTTTATGCTAATGACACTCCAGAAACCAATATTATCCACTCAAAATGACATGGAAAATTTCTACTCAATACCTCCTGGGCTCCATTAGTATTTCTGGGTAAATATTTCTGGGGAAAATAATTTCTGTTTTTGTTCCAGCTGTGTGGCAGATACTGTGATGGACTGAAAGTGCAAAAAGTAAGACACCATTCCAGCATACAAAGGACAATGACAACCAGGAAGCTTCAGCCAGATCCTGTCCTTTCCTTGAAAGGAACTGGATCCTAGGAGTTGAAGACATTTGCAAACTTATAGTCCTCTGCCTCCCTCTGCTGTTATTCGTGAGAAGTTTTTCCTCACAACAATGAGAAATCATGTACTAGCTGCTTCCTTTTCTATGCTCTCCCTGCTGGCAATAATGGGAGACACAGACAGCAAAACTGACAGTTCGTTTATGATGGACTCGGACCCCCGACGCTGCATGAGGCACCACTATGTTGATTCTATCAGTCACCCATTGTACAAGTGTAGCTCAAAGGTAAGACCAAAGTCTTTGTGAAGGTGTCTGGAAACGGATCAGAAGCCATGTTTCTTTGTCAGGGGATGGGAAACTGTGATCAGAGCCCAACCCTAAGCCCTGAGCTAATTGGCTGGGCCACAAGGTTTGTGGGAGAATCACGCCTTTAGGGTTTTCCATCACACTTTGCTCTTCTATCAGTGGTTGTTAGTGCCTTTGAGTCTACTCCAAATCATAACGTCCTGTCCTATGTACTGTAGAATGAAACATTCATTGGCTGGTTCTTCACCAGCCTCACAATCTTTGTTGTGTTTGAGTCCATTGTTGTAGCCACTGTGTCAAACCGTCTTGTTGAGGGTTTTCCTCTTGATTTGGTAACTTTACAAAGCAAGATGTCCTTCTCCAGGACTAGTGTCCTAAAGCACTTAGGATGAAGTCTTGTTGTCCTTGCTTCGAAGGAGCATTCTGGCTGTGCTTCTTCCAAGACAGATTTGTTTGTTCTTCTGGAATTTAGTCAATATTCTTCACTAACACTGTAATTCAAAGGAAACAATTCTTCTTCAGTCTTCCTTATTTGTTATCCAGATTTCCCATGCATATGAGGCAACTAAAAATACCATAGCTTGAGTGAGATGCACCTTAGTCCTCAAAGTGACATCTTTGCTTTTTATCACTTTAAAGAGGTCTTTTGAGGCAAATTTGCCCAGTGCAATACAACGATTTATTTCTTGTCTACAAGGAGCTCTGGTAGCGTAGTGGTTACAAATTGGTCTGCGACCGCAAGGTCAGCAGTTCGAAACTACCAGCTGTTCCGCGGGAGAAAGATGAGGCTTTCTGCTCCCGTAAAGATTTACAGCCTCGGAAAGCCTGTACAAGGTCGCTATGAGTCGGAACCGACTCCACGGCAAACAACAACAACAACAAAAACAACTGCTTCCATAGGTGTTGATTGTGGATCCAACTAAAATGAAATCCTTGACAAATTCATTAATTTCTCTATTTATCATGATGTTGCTTATTGGTCCAGTTGTGAGGATTTTTGTTTACTTTATATTTGAGGTATAATCTGGATCCAAGGTTGGTTTGAACCACAAAGTCAGCGGTTCAAACTCGCCAGTCACTCCTCGGAAACCCTATACAGGGTCACTATGAGTCAAAACCGATTCAATGGAACTTAACAATGACAACAGCAACCTATACTGAAGGCTGTAGACTTTGACTGTCATTAAGTGCTTCAAGTCTTCTTTTCTTTAAGAAAGCAAAGTTGTGTCATCTTGCAGGTTGTTAATGAGTCTTCCTGAGGCTGCGTTCTTCCAGCTTCTTAGATTATTTGCTCAGCACACAAATTGAATGAGTATGGTGTGGCACTGTGGGTTAATGCGCCAGCCTGCAAAGCTGTTTGAATTGCAAGATTGGCAGTTCAAGCTCACCAGTTGCTCCTTGGAAACCCTATACAGGTTCGCTATGGGTCGGAACCGACTCAACGGCACTTAACAACAACAACAACAAGATGGTGAAAAGATACAATCCTGACACACAGCTTCCCTGATTTTAAGTCATGCAATATCCCCTTGTTCTGTTTGAATGATTGCCTGTTTGGTTATATCCAGGTTCCACATAAGCATTCTAGAATTTCCATTCTTTTCAATATTATGATCCACATTGTCATATGACTTTGCATAATCAATAAAGCACAGGTAAACATCTTTCTGGTATTCTATGCTTTCAGCCAGGATCCTTCTGACATTGGCAATTATATCCTTTGTTCCATGTTGTCTTCTAAATCCAGCTTGAATTTATGGCAGTTTTCTGTTGATGTATTGCTGCAACCATTTTTGAATTATCTTCAGCAAAAATTTACTTGCTGAAGTATGATATTAATGATATTGTTTGATAATTGCCACATTCTTTTGGGTCAAATTTTTATGGAATGGGCACAAATATGGATCTCATCCAGTTGCTTGGCTAGATAGCAATCTCCCAAGTTTCTTGGTATACAACAGTAAACACTTCTAGCATTGCATCCATTCACTGCCTTCAGTGCAGTTTGGATTTCTTCCTTCAATATCATTGGTCTTGATCATAGGCTACCTCCTGAAATGGTTGAATGTCGACCGATTCTTTTTGGTACAGCAACTCTGTGTATTTCTGCCATCTTCTTTTGATGCTTCCTGCATCTCTCAATATTTTGCCCATTGATGTTAAGTGTGCTTCAGTTGATTCTGATTCATAGCAACCCTGCATAGGGTTTCTGAGGAGTGGCTTTTGAGATTGAACCACTGACCTTGCAGTTCAAACCTAACTTTTGGTCCCGTGCTTATCCCACAGCACCTAGACTCCTGCAATATTACAACTTGAGGCTTGATTGTTTTTCTTCTGTTCTTTTAGCTTGAGAAATGCTGTGCATGGGCTTCCCTTTTGGTTTTCTAACTCCAGATTTTTTCACATTTCATTATAATACTTTGTCTTCTTGAGATGGCCTTTACTTCATCATTTCTTCCATTCACTTTAGCGGCTCCATGTTCAAGAGCAAGTTCTGAGTCTCTTCTGGCATCTATTTTGCTCTTTTCTTTCTTTCCTGTCTTTTCAATGACCTTTTGGTTCTTCATGTCTGATGTCTTTAATGTCATCCAAAGCGCATCTGGTCTTCTGTCACTAGTTTGCAATGCATCGATTCTATTCTGTCTCTAAATTCAAGTGGAATATACTCAAGGTCATACTTCGACTTTCATGGAATTGTTGTCATTTTATTCAGCTTCAACTTGAACTTGCATATGAGCAATTGATGGTCTGTTCTGCAGGCAGCTCCTGGCCTTGTTTAGACTGACGGCATCAAGTTTCTCCACAGATGCAGTCAATTTGATTCTTTAGTATTCTGTCCAGCAAGGTACATTTATAGTCACTGTTTATGTTATTGAAAAAAAAAGGTATTTGCCATTTCTTCTTACAAAATTCTGTCGTGTACACTGTTTCTATCACTAATGCCATATCTTCCAACAACCTGTCCCCCTTCTTTGTTTTCAATTTTTTTCATTCCAATCAATTATGCATACAACTTGATTGCATGTTTGATCAATTTCAGACTGCAAAAGTTGATAAAAAATCTTTAATTTCTTCATTTTGGGTTTTAGTGGTTGGTGTATAGATTTGAATAATAGTCATATTAAACGGATTTCCTTATAGGTATATGGCTATTATTCTATCACTGACAGCATTGTATTTCAGGACTGATCTTGAAATGTGCCTTTTGATAATTAATGAGATGTCATTCCTCTTCAATGTGTCATTCCCAGCATAGTAGACTATCCAAAGAAATCCCATTGCCACTGAGCCAGTTCCAACTCATAGGAAGTCCATCCATATATAGTTTCAGAGATTGTAAATCTTTATGGGAACAGACAGCTTCATTTTTCTTACATAGAGAGGCTGGTGGGTTTGAACTCCTGAACAGGTTAGCAGCCCAACACCTAACCCACAGAAACTCCAGGGTTCCTTGTCCAGTTCAAAATGGCCAATACCAGTCAATTTCATCTCCTTAATGCCTAGGGTATCTGTCTTTATATGTTTCATTTAATTTTTGATGGCTTCCAATTCTCCTAGATTCATAATTTATACAGTCCATGTTCAGATTACTAATGAATGTTTGTAGTTGTTTCTTCTAATTCTGAGTCATATCACATCAGCACATGAAGGTCTCTAGAGTTTTAGTGAAAGCAGCGAATACTGTGCTTTATCGACTACACAAATGCTTTCCATTGAGTGGATCATGACAAACTATCAACAACATTGTGGAGAATGAGTATTCCAGAACACTTCATTTTGTTTCTGAGGAACCTATACATTGAACAAGGGAACACTGAATAGTTAAACTGAATAGTTAAATAGTTTAACTGAATAGTTAAAAATCATGAAAAGTGTGCATCAGGGTTGTATTCTTTCACCATACTTATTCAATCTGTGCGCTGAGCAAATAATCCGAGAAACTGGAATATGAAGAAAAATGTGGCATCAGGATTGGAAGAAGATTTACTAACAATCTGCATTATGCAGATGATACAACCTTGCTTGCTGAAAGTGAAGAGGACTTAATATACTTACTGATGAAGAGAAAAGACCACAGCCTTTGGCATGGATTACACCTTAATGATAAGAAAACAAAGTCCTCACCACTACACCAATAAACAACATCCATACAAATGGAGAAAAGACTGAAATTGTCAAAGACTTCATTTTGAACAGATCAACACTCATGGAAGCAGCAGTCAAGAAATCAAATGATATATTGCATTAGGCAAATCTGCTACACAAGGCCTCTTTAAAGTGTTCTAGAGCAAAGATGTCAGTTTGAGGACTAAGATGTACCTGACCCAAACCATGGTATTTTTAATAACCTAATATACATGTGAAAGGGAGCTCTGGTAGTGTAGTGGTTATGAATCAAGCTGTGAACTGCAAGGTCAGCAGTTCGAAACTACCAGCTGCTCTGCGGGAGAAAGATGAGGCTTACTGCTCCCGTAAAGATTTACAGCCTCAGAAACCCTGTACAGGGTTGCTATGAGTCAGAACCAACTCCATGGCACATAACAACAACAACAACAAACATGTGAAAGTTGGGCTGTGAATAAGGAAGACTGTAGAAGAATTGATGCATTTGAGTTATGGTGTTAGAGGAGAATATTAAAAGTACCATAGACTGCAAACAGAACAAACCAATCTGTGTTTGAAGAAGTACACACAGTATGCTCTTTGGAAGCCAGGATGGCCAGACTTTGTCTCTCATACTTGGGATATATTATCAGGAAGAACCAATCCCCGGAGAAAGATTCAATGTTCGGTAAAGAGAAAAAGAGGAAGACCCCCAACGAGATGGATTGGCACAGTGGCAGCAGACATGGGCTCAAACACAGGAAAGATAAAGAGATTGGCCCAGGACCGGGCAGTGTTTCATTCTGTTGTGCATGGAGTTGCTATGAATCGGTACTGACTCGATGGCACCTAACAACAACAATAAAACTTTACCC